GAGATCCGCTTAACTTTTTCTCTTCTATCTTGGATTCATTTTTTTTTCTTTTTACGTAACCATCGCCTCACGTTCTATAATAACTATTAACATTACACACGATACTTTTTAAAATGTACGCATAGTTATCGTCGTAATAATTAGAGCTCGTTACCACTACAGACAGTCAGATCACTGAAACTGCAGAAATCACATAACAATAGCATTATCATTTGTGATACATCAGCGATGCCTCCGTAATTATTTCACAAAATGTCATTATTCATTTAGCCACCATTATTGGTGGAACACCGACATTGGTAGCAAGGCATCTTCGTTACGTTTTCTCATAGTTTTATACGCGCTTCTGTACTTTTTCTCTCGATAACTATAAATATTGTATGTATGTATATATATATATATATTATATATATAGTATCTATTTACACTTTCTTTTTTAAATAACGCTTTTTTCTGTTAGCAAAATATCAGCACCAAACTCCGAATGTTAACTGGATGGGGTGCTCAAAAAGTCGGACCGTCAGTGCGTTCGCTCGCAGAAACCGAGGACGCCGAAACAAAGTATCATCGGGACTGCGATCCATCTTCTTTCTTGTGAATATCCGCGTGCATGAGGGCGTTTTCGAGTGGACGTGTCGGTACTCCTGGACCAGGTCCTGCTCTATGATGCATATGCAAGTTACTAAGCGGACCTGGACTAGGGTCCTTACTCCTGAGTGTATTCACCGGCGGTGGAGGATAGCCGGCGTACAGTTTTGCTCGTTCCTCTTCTTCAGCTCTGAACGCCGCCACTAACGGATTATATCGTAACTGTTGCAGCGTATCGAACCGGTATTCCCGGAAAGGATCGCTCGGCCAAGGGGCTCCCGGTTGACCGGCAGGCGCAGTTGGCGGTGGAAAATGCTGCATCGGATGTGCGCTTAAACTGGGAAGCATGCTACGTGGCATAGAATGCGAAGCTGGCATACCGTGTGGATGCCTCGTAAGATAAGCATGTGGATGCGGGTGGTATCTCGGATCGGGCAGTGGATTTGGTCCAGGTCCTGGCGCGGGCCCCGTCGTTCCGGGACCGGGTACTGGCGGTCGTGGAAGCATTACAACCTCGTCGTCTTTACTGCGAGGTTCTTCCTTTACGCGCACTTCGCCAGTATCCAAAGGCGCCGAACCGTTCCTGAGCGGCGAACGATCTCGGGAAGCAACCACATGTTGTCGATTCTGATGAAGTAGTCTCTCGCGCTCCATCTCACGTCTTTCCATCTCGCGGCGCTCCTTATCTCGCCTTTCTCGCTCCCGTTCGGCCGCTTCCTGCTGTTTCCTCTTCTCCTCTTTCTCGCGTTCCCGCCTTTCTCTCTCACGTTGTTCCTCTCTCTCCCTCTCCCGTTCTCTTTCGCGTCTGATACGCTCGCGTTCCCGTTCGGCACGTTCACGCTCTCGTTCGCGTTCTCTTTCCCGTTCACGCTCGCGCTCCCGTTCTTCCAGCTCGGCGCGCCTGTCTATCGCAGGAGGTTCCGGTTTCAATCCCCACGAAACAGTAGTCTGTGGAAATCCAGTAGTAGCGCGTTGCAATCTGAAATTAGACGCATAAGTTAGTAAAACATACATTTACAGTAGAAAAAAAGTAATGACCTGATAGTGATTGATTAATATTTCATGTACATACCCTCGCCATGGATCGTGTACTGAACCAAGTCCACCTAGAGGAGGCATTTCTCTTGGCGGAAAAGTTGAAAGGTTTGGAAAATTAGGATTCGGCGCGCCGAACGTTGAAGGATATCTTCCAAAGGGAGACAATCCTGCTCCTGTAATATAAGAAAAGATCATAAAAATGATGCAAACATTGATAATCATAATGCAGTTCAATGTATGTATTTACAAACATGAACGTGCGCACGTGAGAATAAATGTGAATCTTTGTTACCTCTATTACCTAAATGTGAGGCCGTCGTAGAAAGAAAACCGACAGGATGTGGTGGAGGTGGTGCAGGATGGGCAGATGGTATATTAGTGGAAAACGGAGGTGCCATTGATGGTGCACCGAGTCCAAGACCACTGGCTGGTCCCCCGGGATAAAGATGGCTCGGTGGTCTTAATAACTCAGTTTTGGTACTAACGACACTTCCCGCTTTAGCTTCAGCCTGTTGCTTTTGTTGATGATTATATATTTCCCACGCAATACGCACGTGCATCGCATTCCACTTTCCACTTTTCTGGATTAAAAGATTAAACGTTTAAATAAATATATGTAACATGAGAAAAAATTTGTAACTTTTTATATAAAAATACCTTTGGCGCAAACGGAGTCAAGTGATTAGGGGGCACAAAAGGTGTAGAAGGCGGTCCAATTCCGGGATGAAGAAGGCCAGTGTTAAAACCGGAATAACCAGAAAGGTTTAAGTTTCCACGAAAAAATGGTGATTCGACTCCTCCCAATTTTGGGATGTCCTTAAACTATTAAAAGATAGTTTTGTTTAACATCAGTTTACGTGTATGGACGAGTCTATGATGAGTACTACGATTAGATAATTAGTTATGACAGAGATATAATAAATGTATAGTCTCATTGGCTAATAGATATATTTTTTACTTACAATTGGAGGTGGAAAAAGTGTAGATGTTGCAGCTGGTGGCAGCAACGGTGTCGTGTGCTGATGCACATGCGTGTGTTGATGTTGATGATGATGCATTTCCGTTCGAAGATACGCTGGACCCAAATTTCCCACTCCAACACCAACATTTCTGTCTTGAGACGCTAAAAATCTATTATCGAGTTCTCTCCTCAGAAGATCAGCCTGACCTGCAACATGTGTCACCCCTTCTTTTGATTAGTGCATTTATTATCTGCTCATATTCACATAAAACACAATATATAAAAAAAGTTAGATTGTAAGCTTACTTGTTTGGAACAGAGACTCTGCAGAAAACGGATTGGGATTGGTCGTCGGTGGGGGAAGCGAGGGCAGTGAAGTATGGGGGCTTGAGCTAGACACTGGCGGTGGTAAAGGCGTTGCGAACATCGGTGGTGGAAATGTATGTGGTATGCCGAGTGGTACCGGTGGTGGAGTTGGCCTCGGAACAGATGTAGCTGTCGCTGGAGACAACTGGGGAGCTGTGTTGCTGCTGTTTTTTAGATAAAAGATTTTTTATAGTATTTTTTGTTTGATTTTTATTGAAAGATTTAAACTTGTTCGGGCTTACCTAATCCAACTTTGTGGCTTGGTATATGTAGGTAGACTAGAATTGGCTGGCGAGGAGGTGTTTGGCACACTAACAGGCGTTATGCTGCCCCGACTTAGACTACTCACGTTACTGCTGTAACAAACATACAATTATTATTAAAATTTTCTGTTAATTATTGACTTACTCAAATCTGACAAACGCAACAGTCTGTTCGCGTTGCTTGCACTTTTTGCAATACAAATCTTCCCTTTCTCTCTCTCTTTAATGCTCGAATATATTTATCTCGTTTTAAGTGCAAAATTTGTTCAAAATTTCAAGCAATGCAAACAAACCTCGTAATGTTGCAATCAGAAGAAAATATTTTACCTGTAACTATCCCTTTCCCGACTGGGGCTATGTCCACGTGGAGAGTTATTATTTCGTCCGGATAGACTGCAGGCCACCATGTCTCTATGAGCGATAGTATTTGCCGTGGTAACTGTATTAGTTATAGTGGATACGCATGTTGTGGTGGCAGCACTCAGTGGAGTATTATTGTGACTCACGAGGTTGTTTCCTATAGTCTGTTTACTTATGTTGGTACAGGGGGAAGCTCTACTCCCTCTCTAAAATATAATAATTACCGTCGTTATGAACACTCGTATTTTATACTTGAGATAAGTAATACTAGTGATATAATTGAATACGTCAGCAATGTACGATACAATAACTTACCACATCAGCGCGCGATGAAGCAGAATGAGAAGGGGATGGTACCGCAGGCGGAAGATATGGGCTGTGATTTAGAGCGGTGTACGGGGTATAGAGCGGTGGATACGATGGTTGCGTCTGTGGATACGCGGCTATAGGAATGGGAGGTGGATAACTCGTAGTGGCCGCTCCGTTCGATGGTGCTGCTGGCGTAACACCTAAACTGGCTACCGCTGGACTAGTTGTGTGACTTGAGACGAGAGGCCCAATAGGTGGATGTAATGCAGGTATCGTAGTGTGCGGTTGCTGGGATAGGGAGGGTGGAGGCAGAGCGGGGGAAGCTGGCCGCTGTTGCGGAGCTATTGCACGTGGATTCGCTGCCAAAGGACTAGTCATCTGGAATATAATATCAACAAATGTTATCTCTATGAAAGAAAAGACTGAGTTTATACAACGCAATAACTACTTACAGAAGGCTGGGATATGTGTGGAGGCAACGTAGGGCTAGGAGGACTCGGCGCTGTTGGAACTGGTGCAGACGCAGGCACAGGAGGTGGTATAGGTGCCGGAGCATTCGTTGCTGGATTAGAAGTTTGACCACCCGTGTCCGGTGGAGATCCACCTGCCCCGTTTGTGGGTGGTAAGACGTGTGGCGAAGAAGATGGCAATTCGTCTAAAAACAGAAAAGAAAGATCAGAAATATATACACAGAGAAATAATGGTAATAACGTTATACTTTCAAAAGATGATTCTCTATATAAAGATGTACATTTCTTATTTTTGGAAGTATTACTTACATTTACGTGTGAGAGGTGGTGAGGTAGAAGATTCAAAGAGTATAGATTCGGCATCCGAGCCCTGTAATAAAAAAACAATGAAATTATTGAAGCTGATCGATTATTTTCTCCAAGCTAGTAGAGTATCTACAGAAAATGTGCATACCTTATCGTCTTCTCCTTCACTATCACACTGAAATGAAGAAATAATAAATTAATATATATCATATTTATATCTATATTAATATAGAAATATAATTTATAATTAAAACTCAGAATATAAGGCTATGAATTATACTAAATATTTAATGCTTTTTAACGGATATATCAATTTTAAATAACGACCATCATGGATTTATTTGGATAGTGCCTCCACTAATTGCAGGAAATGACAAATATGGATTAATTTCTGATACAAGAGAATTATAATGCATCTTATTATTTGTGGTATCTTTAAATTGTGTTTGTTAAGACTGAGAATAACCCGATTGAAGTCAAAACGTCTGTTTTCAAAATTGTTTTAAAATTTATTATTTATAGAAATCTTAGCTTTAAATATCTAACTTGGTTCATAGCCTTATGTTTTTATTTTTAACTTTAAATTATTTGAATCAATTATTGTGTTGAATATTATAATTATAATTTAGGATCTTCTGTACGTATACTGATTATAAATATAGATACTTACGATATAACCTTTACCCGAACTGCAATGACTGCTAGCCTGTATTGCAAACATGAACTCATGAATAAAAGTATTACAAGTACTAAAAAAGTTTTCTAACTTTTCATTATTTATTTCGTAAAGAAATTAATATTGATGTATATATGGTAAATATTTTTATCTTAGTTACACAGTCAGAAAGTGAAGAAATATGATTAATATGTTAATAGACCAAAATATTAACAAGACCATTAGTCATATTTAAAATTAGAAAACAATTTATTACATAAATTTCAAGTTATGAAATTATCAATATTGCATGTATACTAAGTTACAAGTAGAATATGGAACTCACATCGCTGAGATGGTCCCTAGAACTGTCTGCGTCCTGGCAATCCCTAGGTATACCAGGGCCGTGCAACTGTTCAGACGCTCTGCCACTATCGTCGCTTGTACCTGCATCTAGGCCCTGCAAGAGAAATTATCAACGCCACTGTCACTGTATCATCTCTAATTGATATATGTCAGCAGGCTAGACACTTGACGCGATTTAACTAAGATTATTCAATTACCTGGTTTAGCGTCGAGGGTGTCAGTATGGAATTATGTGTGTAATGATTGTGCTTGAAATTGTTTTTGATGTGGTGCTCGTTGTGCCTGTTATTCTGTCCGGTATCCAGCTTTGGTTTTTCGTCCACTATCGATAGCAATGTGTGTATTTTCTTGACATTATTTTTACCAGCTAACGTTATTGCACTCTGAAAACAGAGAAAAGGATATATGAAATAATAAATATTATCTTGCGTACATAAAAATATATGTATGTGTATGTATGTGTACACGCATAATCACAGCATATTTTGTATATTTTATATAAACAAATATATTCTCTATTTCAAATATGTATTGTATTTAATTTTATTGTTACATTGCTGACACTATGATGGCGTATAAACAGCACGTTTATAAAAATATACGTCATCATACATTATAATTTCACATTTAGCAAGAAATCTCATTTTCATTATTGCGTTATCTTGTCACATAAAACGTCAAGGATAACCAGAACTGTCGAGACGTCGCCTTCACTTTTATTGAAATATATCAGCACCATATTTATCAATCTGACAGCGTTAAATCGCATTGAAAATCAATTGACGGATTTGCGAAAGATGCGCCCACCTGTGTTCACGAAAAGCGCGAAGTGTCGCCGCAATCGGAGCAGCCCGCAGCCGTCAGTATCCCCGTCCGCGGTGTCGGAGTTTTATTCTTCGCGCCCGCGCGATGCTTGCTCCTAACGTGCGGCGGTGGCGGCGGCGGCGGCGACGACAACGACGTCGCCGAGAGCCATGCCCCCTCCTCTCCTCCCCCCCGGAGTCACGGCGATCGAGATTCCGCACTGTCGCGCACGCACCCGACACGTAATACACACTGTTGTAAACACCGCGAGCGAGGAGGCCCTGGCCGCGAGTAACGACCTGGCTACGAGGTGCCCGACGGCGACGGCGATGACGACGGCATCGGGAACGTCATCGACGACGTGCAGTCGAGAGAGCGCCGGAGTCCGCGGCGAACGATCGCGGTACTTTCACGCTGTTGCGCGCGGCCGCCGGGCGGAAAAAGCCCGAACGAGAACGCCTTCCTCCTTGCCCTCGGAACAGAGCGCCTTCAAACCGCGATACGAGTGCACATTTCCGAACGCACCGCGTTCTCTTTCATTCTCCGGCCGAACAATGTTATATACCGGCGATCCGTGGTGCCGGAGGGATTCACGTCGCGCGAATCCCCGCCGTCGAGAATGACGACAACGACGGCGACGATGATGACGATAACGATGACGACGCGTTGCGGGCGCGACGAACTGATTTTTCGCGATCGCGCACGGCGCGGGATAATCCTGGCCGCGGACGGGCGTTCGTTCGCAAGATGACAGAGGGATTTCGCAGGCATCCGTGTCTCGTGTGCGCGATGCAGCACGGGAGCGCTGCCGAGTGGGGGGAAGCGATGAAAGAGAGCGGGAAGCGAGAGGAAGCGAGAGAAAGAGAACCGGAGGGGGAGGACGGTAGAAGGGACGGAACGCGAAAGAGAGAGAGAGAGAAAGAGAAGAGAGAGGGGAGAGAGCGAGGAAGAAAGAGAAGACATTGACCGAACGAGCAGCCGCGCGACAAGGCCTCCTTCGTCGTGCCAGGCCAGCTGGAAGGAGCGAACTGCGATCCGATTGCTCCTTCTCTCTCTCTCTCTCCCCTTCCCCCTCTCTCCTCCTTTTGCTCCTGTCTCTCCTTCTTTTTTTCGCAACGGCGGCGTTACGCTCTCTCCCTTCGTCGACGAGCCCCACGGCTTGTCGCGCTCTTTCTCTTGCTTCTCCTCTCTCCCTCTCTCGTGCCCCCTCTTTTCTACTACGGGTGGGTACCAAAGAAAAGAAGGGAAAAAGCCACTAGAGACCTCGCGGTTGGTGCAAAAAACCACCGCCGCTGCCATCGCCGCCGCGGCTGCTGCTACTACCACTACCACCACTACCACCACCACCACCACCATCGTCACCGCCGCCCAGCAAAAACCGCACTCCACCTGCGCACGTGTGCCAACTGCGAGTCGAAACCCCCTAGGACGTGTTCGTCGCGGTCGGATCGCGTGCTCCTCGGCAACGCGAGAATTAATTGAATAAAACCTCCACGACCGGTCGGCCGGCCGTCTCGCGGAAGGTGCAGCGCTCGTGAAAAGAGCACGTCTACAGTCAATGTTCGTCTGTCAGAGGTTTCGTTTCTCTCGATCGTGCTTCCTCGAGAGAGTGCGAGACAGTGGCTGCGTTTCAGTAGAAAAAGCAGCATTGTAAAATTCTTTAATACGATTGGTCTTGTCCTCAATCCTCAAACACAATACTGCAGTAAGCCTGAAGTCTTAAGAAATTGATCAATCACAGTCAATTATTCTTCTCACCTTCGACTATGATTAATAGTCAATTTCTTAAGGCTTAAGGCATTATTGCGCCTATCGTGTTTCGGTTGATTTCTCGTTGGATCTAAAAGTATAAACCAATCGTATCAACGAATCTTACAACAGTTGCAACGTTGCTTTTTGACCGAACGTAGCTAGTATATATATTTCCCCCCCCCTCTCTCTCTCTCTCTCACTCACCCCCTCTCTTTCTTTTCGAGCAAAGATGCGCCAAGACATGATTGATGAGAGCTATCACAGTTGGCAAGCCGCTCGTTCATTCATACGGCTGAACTGAATCAGCTGACGCGCATTATTCTTAGAGATAGTCGCACATTGTGCTCAAACGACGCGATGTTTTGTCAGAAGTTGAGATTAACAAGGCTCCTGTATGCACAAAACTCCCCCTCCCTCCCGTTGAACGAGATGTTTCACCTTAAAAACGTAGCTCGCGAGATCGCTAATGTCGACTCGTTGCACCGTCGTTTCCCTTCCTCGCACGCGAGCTATTTTTATTTAAATGTCGCGATACGACAGTGACGCACGTTTTTTTTTTTTTTTTTCCAACAACGGTTCTTCCCCGCAAATGGCCGGTGTTCGTACAGCAAATTAATTTACAATCATTAATAACGCCTATGTCAACTTCTGTCACCGAGATAGTTATTAGATGATTACCTGCTTTCAAGGCGTTTATAACGCTCGCCGTTTAAACCTATAGAACGAAACACTCGACAATTATCGCTTCGTAAATATATTACGAAGATATCAGATAAGTGGATGCGTAAAAAGCCATATGACTCATTCCGCGTGCGTGTATGTGTCACGTAGTGAAGGCCTGCTCACAAAAATCGAGCGGGTACACGTCTGATTGACGTTAATACCGCGTTAGACAGGAACGTACGCTATCATCATGTATATATCCACAATGATTAAATCCTTTCTCCCGCGACTACGCGAGATTGTATGGGTTCAATTCCGCAAACCCCCTATGGCTTTTACCGGTGGTATGTCACAACGCTGCCTTTCGCAAGAAATATGCGCACGATAATTCATTACAGCTGCATATAATCGAGACCCGCCACGATACGGCATCCAGTGTTTGTTGCGCGAGGTATCATCGCGACTATGACGTAAGAATACAAGGTGTTTCATTGCTCATAATAGGTAGCCGAATGTAATTTTGGGGGTAGATTTCTCCATTGACGATAAATTTCAAATTTATCGTCAATTTATTCTATATTGGCTCGTAACGTTTTGGGCTGAATTTCCTAATTGGTCGTCGATTGCACATTTTGGAAACGAGACACCTTTGGCTGCGTTCAGTGGAACTTAACAGTTGTAACTCAGTTTCATAATTTGCAGTTAACTCCTTAGAACCTTAGAATTCTAGAATTGAAAATGAGGAGTGAGATGAACCTCAGTTGAAGAGTTAATTGCAAATTGTGAAACTGCGGGGACCTAAGTGAGCGCGATCGACGTGCTCTTCTGGATCTAAAAGTCTGATTAAATGATCTAGAAGAATACACTAATAACAGCGAGCGCTCGCTCATTGTCTCCACCAACGTTCCACCAAGATTAACTGATCTCAATTTCATTTACTCCTCATCATTTCTAATTCTCAGAAAAGACGAAAAGTCGGCTGGAGATGAAAATTAAATTACTTTGGTAGAAACGGGTCATCAGACTGTTGAGTCTGCTGAACGCAGTCCTTGTATTCTTACATCATGACCGCACAGCGGTCGGTTTTTCTCCGCGAAAACCCAAACGAAATGATCCGCGAGCGTATATGATCTTGGAACGGCGCGGTAGAGAGAAAAACGGAACGTTGGAAGTGGCAATTACACGAGCGCGGTTCAAGCCGACGAATTACATGACTCGTTGATTCTGTAACGAGCTGTTGCCCCTGTCGTCCTGTTCTCAAGACTATCCTATTACGGGAACGACACAAGAACTTAATTACGATTAATCGCTGTGTAAATGAAGGAAAAAAAAAAAAAGAGGAAAATCTACCAACACGCAGCGTGATTATGTGTTTAGGTATATGTGAAAAAATCCTTCGAACTTTGTCGTCCGCCACGTACCTCTCTTTTCTTTTTTTTTTTCCTTTTTTTTTTTGCAAGTCACGGCTCATGCCGCTCGAGGCAACGCGATGCGATAACGTTCTTATGCGTTACGCAGACGTTACGGCGTAACGAAGTTTCTTCACGTCGCGATACGCAACGTTGCATATTATTATGCATATAATTTTTGTCCGCGCTCTCTTCTCTCTCTTCTCTCTCTCTCTCTCTCTCTCTCTCTCTCTCCGTTTCTTTTCATTTGACGGTGCGATTTGCTTACAAATGGCCGGAGTCTTATGAGACCATAAAACGTATTGTCCATAAACACGAATAAAAAAAAAAGGAGAGGTAGATTTTATCAATGAAAATGTATTCTTTTCATATTTACTTCGGCATAACTTTTGTTACAAAAAAAAGCACGATAAAAAAAATCAACGCGGCGCGCCCGGGTATTGAGATGTAAAAGCTATTAGTATGCATGAATAAAAAAGTACTAGAGTTGAAGAGTCGGGCGCAACAATCGAGCTAGCCCACTTTTTTCCCAACAAACGACTTGTTTACCATTTGGCATTCAATGAATAGTGAAATCTATCGATTGTTCCAACAGCCATGCGTGCGTAAAATTAAATACGTGCACATATATTGTAGGTATGTGGAAAACAGATAAAACATGGAGATCTATATAGCAAGGTTTCTCTTACAATAATTAAGTAATAACGCTTTATTAATAATAAGCAGTAATGTAATATAAAAAATGTGCCGATTAA